GGGGGGGGGTAAAGAACGAGTAAGATGAGAGAAAGTGAAACATTTATGTCAGTGGAACAAATGTAAAAGTTCATGTGTCATAGAATTATAACATGTTGACTAACTCACCTTCCTCCTGCTCTGCCAGGCAATCGATACCAAATAGTGTATCTTGTCTTCACGGGATTATACTTCTTTTTCCAAGTGCAAGTCAAGTTCTGCCAATTTTGTGAGACACAAGAAAAATCGCTGACATCTTGGGGTGGATCTGGGGTTAAAAAGAAAAAAGTTACAGTAGCTGATACAGAACAAGTGAGGAAAGCACATACTACAGCAGCACAGCCAACTTTAAACTTACAGCCGACGGCTACGTTGTTCAGGCACACCACGTCCTGCGCTGCGTCCTCCCACTTGTTCAACTTGCAGTAATACATGGCCGAGGACACGTTGGGCCGCATCGTGAGCTTGAGCGTCGTCTCGTTGACCACGTGCAGGTGCTCTGGGGCCACCGTCTTATTCTGTCGGTAGAACATGAGGTGGCTAGCGTTGCGTCCCTTGGTTCCCGGATGGGTCAGGTTGAGCACACAGTACAGTTCCAAGAGTTCCCCTTCCATCAGGATTATATCCCCCGCCGGGATGGTCACTGCGCATAAGAAATACATTAGTGGAAATATTTCGACCGTCTGAAAATAACTAGTTGTACAGTGTGTGTATCAACACTCACCTCCCGGGGTGGATAGACCGGGCCCGCAGGTGGACTGGGCGCCGTGTTGCTCCACCAGGAGCATGAGGACGAACGCCACCATGGGGAGGGCCGACCCCAAGACGGCTGTGACGGAGGGTGTCCTCCGCGCCGGGGCTGGGGGGCGGCCATGGGGGCGGCCATGGAGGTGGGCGGGGGCCGGAGGCCGGCCCGGCGGACGGGGTGCCGAGGGCGCCATGGCTACTGCCCTATCATTTCTGCAAACAGAGGAGAGCGAGCGAATTATTGACGGAGCCAGGTCAGGTCAAGCGCGCTCTTCGAGTGGTCAAGTCAGATCAGCAGTCAGCAAGGTCTAGGCCCAGACCCTCGCCTTGGCCTCGCCGAGGCCCCGCCGAGGCCCCGTGCCGGGCGCACGCGGGCATGCCCAACACTAACACAAATCTTTATTTAGCTCCGCGGGCCGCCGGGCGGGCGCTTCTGCTTTAAGTCAGTAGCGGCGCGCGGCAACAGAGATTCTTGAACCACGTCAGCCCGAAGCCAAGGGCGGGGGGCACAACCTCGGGAACAACCTAAGAAATGCGGCGTAAAGGCTCCGTGAGATCCCTTCCATAATCCCCACTTCAACCCTCTGAAATTTTATGAAGTCCCCTTGAAAAGCCGCCTGAAATCAGTTTAGGTGAATGGGCGTGAGCGCGGCGAGCCCCCCTTACTTTTCACCGCGCCCAACTCCAATCAGCACGGAGTGCGTCGGGCTGCCGAACCCTGCGCCAGCTCCGCCAGCTCCGCCAGCTCGGGTCCGGTTCGCGCGCCACGCGAGTCGGCAGCACCCGCGGTAATTGGCTTGTTAGCAGCTGGGCGGGCCGAGCAAGCCTCGGGCCGGGCAGCGCAGCGCTCGCGGCTCCCAAGGCGTTCGTTCGGTTCTCATTGAGCCAAACGAAGGCGCCCAAAGCCAACCAACAAAAACGATAAATGAATAACGGGGAATAAAAGTTCGACACCTGTTCCCAAGAAACACCACCCAACCACCATCGGGCGAGTAAATAGGCACATCCTTGCAAAACTAGAAGAAAGTTTCAGAACTTTACTGCACGTTGGTGATACGGCGATGATGGTACGTGTCGTCGTTCGCATTTCAGTTGTAAGAAAGGCAGAAAGTTGTACAGTCATTGCATCCGCCTCATGCAGCCAAGGACTCACTCACACACATGACAAGGGTTAACGACGCAGAGTTCACGAACTGAATCACCCACGCGTAACTTTGGGGCGTCAATTCGCGCGGTGCTGAGCTTGTGCTGCCTGCACTCGCGGCCAGGCGACTCGCCCACCCCAACGACCGACGTGCGACTTTCTGAGTATCCGGACCTAGCGCTATGAAAGGGTACACAATCGACACACGATGCACCGTTCTCGCCCCGCTCCCCGGAACAGCGTCGATGAGCGTCCGCGAGGTGAGCCACCATCATAGACGCTGAAAGGGAGGTTCCTTGTTCTTACTGCATTACCCCGCCCACCGTATATATCCTCAACTTTCCCCCTCCCCCGCAGTTTATGTGGGTTGTGTTCCAATAAGGCATTCTGGTAGAGCTGAAAAGAAAAAGAATGCGGGAGCGATAAAACGGAAAACACTGCTTCAACATGGTAACTTCCCACGCATGGAGTGGTTTATTCTCAGTCGGTTTTCCATTTCCGTTCAACCGCAGAGCAGGACAGTACGCGCGGCGGGACATTCTACCTGTTTAGGGTGCAAATTTTTTATCTGGCTCAGAAACTATTCCTGAACATATTAGTCCCCACCTGTGCCCCCTCCTGAAAGCATTTGAACGCACAGCACTTATCAATGTTTATCTCGTACAAACTTTTACAAACTCCGCCGCCGGCAAGGAAAAACAAATCTGCGAGCTACACAGCGGGGTGGGGGAACGCGTTCAGCAGCGTCCATGGCGGTGGCCGCGCGTACGCGCCGCGTGTACACCGTACACCCCCGCCCCGCCCGCCGCGAACTCGAGAACAGAACAGGGCCAGGGCGGAGCGTCGAAACCGCCCGGGGCGGGGGGTTGGTCTGAGGCGCGGGAAAGGGGGTATCTCAAGGAGGGTTGTGAGCACGTGAGACACGTGATCGCGAGTACGAGTAGGGCGGCGGGAAAAGGGAAGCGAGAGAAAGCAAAAGGCCCCCGCGAGACGGCCACGGCCACGGCCAGGGCAACCGCGGCGGTCAACGCTGACGAGGCAGGCGTAGCGGGGCGTGGCGTGGCGTCGCTTGCTGCCGCTGCTTCTGCCGCTGCAGCAAGGCGCACCGCCCCGGCCGGCTCGTCACGTCGGCATGGACAACAGCCATCCATCAAAAGGCAGTGGCAGCCGCACTGGCAACCGGCGGCCGGCCGGGGCAGGCAGAGCTGGCAGGCAGTCGCTGCAGAGCGGGCGGGGCGGGGGCCGCCGACCGAGCACCGCTCGGATCTTCAAAGGACTCGCAAAAAATAAATAAGACGCACGTCCCGTGAATAAATTAGCAGCAGCAGTCGCCCCCGATTCAGCAGCACCGCGAAGCGCGCAGCCTCGTGCTGTGTGTTTAGGAGAAGAGCGGGGATGCGCCGCCGGCCGGGCGGGGGCTTCTAGGGCCTTGCTTGCGGAGCTTGCGGGTCTCTGACACTCGGCACACCGACCACCCCGCGGACCACAGCGGTGGGGCGCGGAGGAGTCGACACGGCTCGCCTGTCGCGGCGCCGTGGTCAGAATCAATTACACCACCATTGTGGGGTGGGGTAGAGTCACACAACTCGTTCACTGTTCAGCGGGCGCTGGACCCACCCGCGCCCTCGAGCTACGCCGGCTACGCCGCTGGCAGCGTCGGCGCCGCACGATAGGGGAGCACAGCGGAGGTGGAGGGGTGGGGGCGCGGCACGCAAGGGCAGGCCGCCTCGCTGTGCTGCTGGCGCCGGCGCGTGGGCGTGCGCAGGGGCCCGCGTACTGTACGGACACCCCCGGCTCGGCCCGACCCGGTTCGACGCTACCCCTACCAGCCGGGCCGGCCGCGCCGCCGCCGCCGCCACCGGGGGGGCCTCGATAGGGGTCCCCTCGATGGGGGTCCTGGCAGCCAAAGCCGAAAGAGCCAGCGAGCGGGCTGCAAAAGCCGTCCGCTCGCCTCGCTGGAAAAGAGGGGCTTTTGGCACCGCGGGGGCGGGGGGGG